TCATGTGTTCAATACTTTTTCCCTGTGCCATTCCACATTATTACAAATAACTTCATTTCTGGACATTTATGGTATGTATGGATCACTTGGGTTGTTACCGACATCTGGTGAAAATTTCATGTCATTAGCAGCTCCAGTAATATATTTACTGAGAAAAAAGGTGACGTGTTTAATACTTATTTTACCCGCTGTATATGACACACATGACTCTTAGTTTTATGTGACGGAAAGGAGCTTCTACTGTAAATACGTTAGCAAAAACCTATAATGAAACGTTCCCAGACTGCTTATAGATTTATCTCTTGAGCAAATACATATTTTTTTACATATCACAACATCGGCAATTTTCTCAGCTTTAATTGAAGCCATATTTTATAGAAATTGGATAAGAAATTAGGGTGCAATGAATATTTTTGTGACAGATTGACGTGCATCCCACATTGGAACTCTACTGTTTTGTTGACATAACTCAATGCATAGCAATGGCTCCTGTGACGGCGCGTCACTAGCTATAAGGGCTATAGGTGATGTCAATCCAGTAATATAGATCAATGTGCTGAACAAAATCACATTCAGTAAACATTTTCTAGAAAATTTGTATTCAGTCTGTGGTATAACAACTGTGAAGAAGTTTATCTGAGTAGACTGACCGATGATACAGATGTAAAAGGCTGCGACAAAGTCCGCCTCTCTGGAGAGTCTTGAAGCAAACGGGTCACCACGCAGAAGGTAATGGGGGATGTTTGAGGGGTATGTGGTGTTTTCCATCACTAACATCAGTGGGAAATATCCTGTGAAATGAAAAAAAAAAGACTTTAAGAACAAAAAGACAACAAAAAAAGAAAAAAACACAAGCTAACAAAAAAAGGCTAATGGGGCACTGATGAAAATGGCATGATCCTGGTCCTCAAGGGCCATTATCCTGCATGTTTTACTTGTTTCTCCATTGAAATGTTATCTATAGAGTTTAAGAGGTTTGATTTCTTTAGTTCTGTTTTGTCAAATGTTTGTTGAAAAGTTGTTTTTCATTGGGAATATAAGAGTATAAAGTATGTTGGTTATTAATGTTCTTATTCTAAACAAATGTAGGAGTTATTTAATAGTGAATAAAAGTGAGAAAAAAAACATTTTAAAAGTTGATGTTTTAGATTTTGTAACATTGTGGGTTTGCCATACATCTTCAAATCCTTTTTTGTGCCTTATTACCTTTCAGTTCTTATAGTTTTGACATTTTTGGGGATTTTTGTTTATTTATTTTTTATTTTTTTTACCTCAGCATGGGTTGAAAAGAAAAGCACTTTCAGGTCTGATCTGATCTCCATCTAGAACTAAACTATGAGATCACAAGACTGGCAGACATCATTCCTTCAGGTCATGTGTCTAATTTAAGCAAAGTAAAAACACTCAGTGTTCATTGGTTATTTAGATAAATCTTTAAGTCCACAAAATCCTTTAGTTAGGCCTATTTGTGCTTTCTTATTTACATTGAAAACTGTATGTTTTCTGTGTGTAAAAAGATGTTACACTCAGAACATTATGGCCTTATTAAACAGTTCAGTGTTGGGGAGTCATTTTCAGTTATTGAAAATGTTACTAAAATGGATGAATTCATGATAAATTTCAGTTTTTTTTCCCTTTTTTTTGTTTGTTTTTTGAGGAGTGGGGCATCACCAGCAGCAGGCAAAAGCACTAAAAAGAGCACAGCTGTATGTGTCAGTTGTTTTTTAAACTAGGGGTCAACCGATACATTGGCCGGCCGATATTTTTGGCCGATATTTGCGTTTTTTCCTTGTATCGGTATCGGCCGATACACTGTCCGTTCGGCCGATCCGTTCTTTGGGTCACGCGAGCGCATGTGTCCGCCCCTTCCCCCGGGGAGAGCGCAGCAGCTAATGTTGTGAGACAGAGTGCTAACAACAACAAGGGTGAGTTATGAATAGGGCTGGGCGATATGAACCAAAAATAATATCTCGATATTTTTTAAGTTGAATGGCGATATACGATATATATC